GCGAGTGTCTGTTTCTTATACCTGCGAGCAGCGCCATGCATTCGGTTCTAGAATGACACTGTTCCGGAAGCGAATGTCTATGGCAATGCAGTCCAGCTGAATACACTCAGCGCCACGAGAGACAAGACACATGCTTGTGGAGGCTCATCAGAGCTTAACATGGGTCTGGGGCAGAGAGACAGGCGTGTCCAGGAGACTGATCGCTGGGACAGAGCCATGCCCGCGGCGAGTCCGACGACACTACCTACTAAGTCGAATCTGGGGGCGTGAACAGAAGCAAGTGGAGGAGCTGAAAGGTTGTGAATTTAGAAGTCGGTCAGCCACAAGTGTGAAGAATGTTGACGGTCTGAAAGAGCTAAGATAAGAGGCGCTCGTTGGCCAGTTCAGTAGAGCTTCCCGGTTCGAAATTCAATTTCGGGATGGACGAGTCTGTGCTGAGCCACAAGTCCCCAGGCATCTGCAGTCCCGTTGCGGCTGTATTGCCATTTCCGGGATACAGCTCTGTTTTTGCAGTCACATGGTGATGTCTGCAGTTCGGAGAGAGATTCTGCAGCCGGCAAGACACCGTTGTGGTGTAGGCAGAACAAGGTAGAACCGAGGGTAAGGGTAACGCAGGACACGCGGTACAACGCTCCTTGACAGTTGAGTGCGGCAGTTCTCCGCACGTACCGGTGCTCGTGCTAAAGGAGCGCCGGTAGGGCAGGGACTGAGACTCACACAGAGCGTGGTAGCGGTGTTCCGAGCTCAGGTGATGTGCCGAGAGATGGGCGCCTGCCGCTACGCGAGACAGATACAGTCCCAGCGTGGCACGAGCCGATGAGACAGGGTCTGTAGCAGAGAAGGCGGAGAGAAGAGAAGCTGAGCGATGGGGCAGAATCAATAGTTTGTCGCAAACGAAGCGAACTGAAGTCAAGTTCAGAGACAGAGACGTGCGCGACTCAAGCAGGGGCTAGCCGCTAAGCCACAAACAGCTGATCCGCGCACGGGTTCCTGCAGCCCGCGTGGGGGAGATGATCAGAGACAGGGATCTTGTCACCCCTTTGTGCACTTCCACCTCTGTCTCATCTGAATCGGGAGGACCGCTCAGCCACATACAGAAAGCCCAGGTCTGGAGCGGAAATTGTTTATCGGGCTGCAAAGCTTATCGCTTCTGCACAGAGTGCATGGACACGGCACGGAAGATCTACCCAATTTAGAAACACGCTAAGTGGATTGGCCATAGGAGCCGAGTCCAGCTGCTTTGTTTACTTTCCACGATGTTTGTGCCTGTGAAGAGACTGAAGGTGTTGACGCGTGCCACACAGACGACAGAAAGAGAGAAGCGAAGGTCAGATTGAACTTTTATGTATGGATTATGTCGTATGCCCACAGACGCTCTGCTCTGTAAACAGAAAGGCTGGCCATGTGGTCAGCCGAAAACTTCGCAGGTGGGGAGCCCTTGGTACTCACATGGATCTGTCCGCGTGTTTGGATGTCCCCCATGCAGCAAGTCATCTCTAGTCGCTGCGATATCGTTGGATGGTTTCCCCTTCGCAGTCCCTCATCGCCTTTAGCCGATACTGCTGGCGAGCAAGCCTCGTGGAGAGGAAGCCTTGATGCCCGGTTGAGTATGTTCATGCAATATGATGCTCAGATGGTCATAGGCGGGCCCGTCTATTCTTCGGGGTGCCATGACAGGACGCGAATCTCCTGGCTATGGTTCAGCAAATGCGTGCTCTTCGCACACTCACGCCATCTTCATCTGTTATCGGCGTTGTTCTGCTTGCCGTTATCCTGCTCTTCATATGGTGCACATCTCGCAGTAAGTGCACTCCGCAGTGGATCTGGGTGCTCGGTGGGGTTTCCGCTACATTGTCCCACACTCTGGTAGACCCTGCAGGGAGACGGCGCGTGGGATAGGAGCGTCCACAGGAGTACGTCGCCAACAACATGGTGCACATTGTGTGTATAGCGTTCGGACCGGAGATGTGGACAAGAGAGGACCTCAACGATAAAGTAAAGTGACCGCGTACGGGCTCAGAGTGAGTGCCTGCCGGAGAATCGAGTATATCCGGGGTCAAGTCCGAAGGTTGGACACTGGGCGGGTGGAAGCTGGGTCACTAGGTGCGTGATGGAACCGTAGTGGATGGCGCTGAAAAGCACGAGATATCATGTGTACCGCGACCAGATGAACTGGTGCGAAGAGCACAGAGTTCATCGCAGTTGCGACTGATTGACAGAAGATGATCAAATTCAGGCATTCCAAACATGCGGGGATTAGCGTGGCGATCGTCAGGAACGCCTCACACGCGCATCACACGCGGTCTATTTTTGGTATACCTATATCCGAATGTATGTAGTGATCACTGGTATGAGTGAGCGGTACCGGAGACTGAAAGCGGCAAGAGGTATGGTGTTCATACAACTTCTGCCACAACGACAGATTAGCACCTCACTTCCAGTCGCTTCTACAAATACCCCGCAAGGTGCCACTCTACCCGCAACTAGACGCTTCAGGCACATTAGCCTTTCTTCTTGAACGGCATCACATGTTGTATTGATGCCCAACTTGCCTGAAAGATGTATTGGCTTGTATTTGTACATTTTGAGGGGTCGCGTGATCTATATATATAGACAGGTCTCAAGGTCGTGGTTCCCAACGCTGCTAGGATGTATGATGATGCGGGTCCTGGCGACGCCCTCTCCTCGAGACCGACAAGCATGCTGATCGGTCCGAAGTCCTCGCAGCAGATGTAAGACAATCAAGGAACATTGCCAGCTGGAAAGCTTGAAAGTGACCGAAGTGGCTTTTATCTCGTTGTCGGGTAGAGCTCCCGGACAAACCTGAAAGGAGGGCGGAAGAGCTGCGTGACGGACCAAATTGGAGCGATTGAAAATGACTTGGACGGTAGTTTCTTCTGTGTGGGCATGCTTTTCCAGTGACGGTACTGCTCCTCCGTCTTCTTCTCCTAGTGCCTGGTAGTGCTACTGGTGCACTTCTAACCTCTCGCGGCGGGTCTGGAGCTCAGCCATCTCTTTCGGGAGGTTAGCAGCATTGGCGAAGTGCTGATTGAGATTCCCATGAGTGTCCGTGAAGGCGAGGGGATGGATATATACACAACAGCTGTGCAGTGAAGTGGCTCGATAACTTTGACTTTGTGGGCGCTTGTTTTGGGGGCTGTCTCAGACTTGGCACAACACTTCATGTCTGGCAATAGGCCAGTATATGTAGGATACCTGCACCACGCTATTTCCGAAGCGTAAGGGATAACCAGATAGGTCTCTAATGTGCGGCCACGCCATTCGCGAATCTTATACGGGAGTGGCCTTCTGCGATTGTCGAAATCGCCAAGTTTGTCTTTGGCGCCTTCTGGGTCGCTGCCCGGTTACGGAACGAGAGAGACTGTAGCATCATCGATCTTGGCGCATCGTAGTCCATGCCATATCTGCGAGGCTTCGGATCCTCCATGCGGAGTGTAGCAGAGCTTCTGTTTCTTCACCAGATGTTTTCGTCGTAGTAGTGGAAGGACCCCGTGAACGACGCTGAAGACAGATGTCCGGTTGTTGACACGTCCGGCATCTTCTCCAGTTGAAGGTGGGGTTCTGGTTACTGATCTTGTTGTAGCGGGGGTCGACGAGGCTATTCCTGTTCCACGCCAATATTCCAAGCAAGCTTTCGCTTGCCAATTTGTCCGGGAAATTGATCGGATGTCGTCGCTTCCGCCTCGCTCGCAGATGATCTCAAACCACTCGAAGTTGCTTCCAACAGCCGCAAGCATCCTGTCTGTGTCGGCTCGAATCGCAATTCCCAACTTGGGCCAGGGCGCTCTCTGTACTGCCGACTTCAGTATGATTGATTTCGGTGCTGGTTTATACGCGGAACCTCCTGTGCTTGTCGACCTGTTCAAGGACCCAGAACTGCTCACAGGGCTCTGTTCTGCTAGGACTGGCGTGCCCGCTTCCCTCGTAGTCTTCTAGTCGAAGTTCTGGGAGCCGGTTTGCAAGCATCGCGGTAGTGGCATGCCCTCAGGTGTCTGGAGAAAACTTGGTAAACGGCAGTGAACGTCTTGCATGATGTTTGGGTCGTGGCAGGTTTGATGGTCGCGTCTATTTCCGTTGGGCTGTTTTACGGACCACAAGAGTCGAAAGCGAAGAAGATCCCTTGCTACGTTGCGGCCTCTGTTAAGGCTGCGACGCAGGCTTTGACGCGGACCTTGCTGAAGGGTTTGTGAGGCCTGAAAGGCAGCCTATGATACCGAGTGAGAACCGAACACTCCATATGCTGTGGACTATACTTTGTGTATTTCCATCATCTAGATCCATCGCATATCGCCCTATGACCCAGCCACCCAAGGCCGGTCAGGAGTATGGGCTACTGAGCATGCGTCCTTTGCTGATGATGGAACGGGAGTAACAGAGGAGACGGAATGAAGGGTACTTATAAACTACCATCCTCATGACTTAAGGAAAGCAAACTCTGCAAAAGTAGTACGCGTAAGAAGCAGAGGGCGTATATGCAGTAGTAGTACACACGTTAGAGTGCGGCAGAGAAAACAGATTACTGCAGGGTTCCTGCTATGGATGCCAGGACAAAGGAGGATCCTCTTACCTTGAGGGCGGGAAAATGCAGACGGCTAGTGCATCTATGCAAAGTTACCAAGTCTGCAAGAAAGAGATAGACGAACCGCTTGTACTGCTGTCTGTATGTATACACCTTGCACAGAGCAACAACTTTTGCGCCTCATAGTGATGCCGTCAAATTGCTGGCCCCACTCCATGCGAATTTTTCGCACAGGACAGGCTCCTCTGAGACTATGGTCAATATCAAGCTAGTGAGATGGTCGTGTTGGTTGTCAGGAGGAAAAGAGTGTTGCTCTCAGCCGGAGAACGGACGTCCAGGCTTGGCAACCGGAGTGCCTGAATGGGAGATGCGGCGCTCCCCGGACAAGCTCACATCGCAGGGTGTAGATAATTGCATTTTGCGATATTTATTTGTAAAAACATCTCAAAATTCAACAATCGGCCTGTTGGTCTAGTCGTATGATTGTCGCTTCGGGTAATACCTCCAATTCGATTGGATCCAATTGTGACAGGTCCCGGGTTCAAATCCCGGACAGGCCCATCTTTTGCTTGGCGCTCGGGAATCGCTAGAATGGAAGTATTGTGATGAGAAAGGGAGCAAAGGGCGGCTTGGATTGCACACGCTATTTTTGCAAGCGGGGAATCGCATGTCAAGCCTCGGGCCCATACATCTTCTTTGCTTCTGCACTTTACCCGAACGCAAACATGCCAGACTCTTTACGATCGTTGCCATTCATTGTTGGCTTGTCCGATATAAGGACCAATACCTTCCAAAGATACCGGTTGGAAGTACTTGTACGCCTCTGATGCTGCCTGGAACCTAACTTCCGGATGTTCATCATTTCGGCTGCCGCTGGTGCTGATGCAAGGTCATCCCATACTCGTGCAGTACAAGACGCGTACAATACTGTTGTCATGCTTGATTTGTTTTTGCTGTTCTTTGTTTGTGGTCCGCCCACAGAGGGCAATGCCATCAACAAAGCCGTGGCCATTCTCCTCCAAGTCTTTGTCGTATACGCGTTACGATAGCATTGTGTACGCCGATGTGTTTTACTGCAATCCTCGAGTGCAGTCACTTCGTGCTGCTGCTACTGCTGCTGCTGCGAGCATCTTTTTCCTTCCATCTACCTTTCCTTAGACTTACAGCCCCTTCCTTCCCATCCCCTCGAGCTGAATTGCAAGCACTCCTCACCCTTCTCAACTCATCGCTCGAAAAATGGAATCCTTCACAGCACACCCCAGCGCAGGTCCCAGCGTCCCAGTGAAGCTCCAGGTCGACCAGGACCTCATCACCAACCAGCAAGAACGCGATGATCTAGAGGCGTCATTCCACTTCTGGGCCTCGCAGACGCTAGGCTTCGACCGCTACTTCGAGGCTTTCGACCCTCGTAAAGGTAACGTCTCCGAATCCATCGTCCAACTGATTGTCAAACAAGCCGAACGCGAAGAAGGAGCACCGACGGCCGTGAAGCTCCACCGCCTCCTCCCATCCGATCTGGACGAGCAGAGTAAGTTGTTCACCTGTATGGTTTGCATGGAGGAATTGCCGTGCTTCTCGCTCGTGAGCAAGACGCCCTGCGGGCACGTCTTCTGCGAGGAATGCACTGTGAGGTTATTTGACGGGCAAGCTGACGATGAGGAGCGCAAATGTCCCCACTGCCGCGCCGTCATCACACCCGGTGAGCGGGAGAAGCGAGCGCTTGAGGCGAGGGCGGAACGGGAGGAGGATGCGCAGTAGAAAGCCCGGAAGCTAGAAGGCGAGGCCGCGGCGCACCAGGACAGGCTGATGATCCTTCAGAGTGACAACGAGCACTTGGAGAACGAGTGCGACAGGCTGGACCGTGCGTTGGCGCACAACGAGCGCCTCTACCGCGGTATGGCCGGCCAGCTCAGGCGCAAAGATGACGAAATCCGCCTGCTCAGAGACAACGACTCAACGATGCGACAGATCAGGCGCAAAGAGGCCGAGATCCGGTTGCTCAAAGACAAAGACGCGCGCGTACAGGCCGAGCAGCGAGACTCGAGGGAGCAGCTAACGGCTTATCGAGCGCGGACCGAGGAGCTGCGCGCTCAACTGCGCGTGCGCCGTGAAGAAGCGGACGAGCGCCGCGTCCGTATCGCCGTCCAATCTGACCACATTCAGGACCTCGAGAGAGACAACAGTGAGTTGAGCGGGAAGCTGGAGGACAGCGTCGCCCTCGACGTCTTCCGGGCCGTGAAGGAGAAGTATGAGGGTCTCAAGGTCATGTACTGGAACGTCAAGCGCGAGCGCGACGGCCTCAGGAATGCCAATCAGCAGCTCAGGAACTCGATTCGGAGAGCCGAGGCTGACATCGGGGCGAGGAACGGTGCAGAGGCAGCTGGGGTCAGTACCATGGATTCGTCAAACTCGAGACGCGGCCGGCCTTTTGCGGCACGAGGAAGCCAACACCGCCGTATCGCCGCTTGAAGAGGTAAGATACGGGAAGTGAAGTTGTAGGCGCGGTTGTTTTCCTGTCTTGTCAGCGGGGAAATAAAGTACGGATCGTAAGTGCTGGGACGTGGATTGCGCGTTAGAACAAGGAGTCTAGGGAAGTTCTCGAGCGGCCTGTGACGGTGTTGACACTTTTCTTAATGGGATCGGAACGTTGCGATTTTCTCTCGATGAAAAGACCATCCTGTGCTACTATATGAACGTGACTCTGATACTGACACTCACGCATCGCGGTTTCGTGACAGCCCATTTGCAGGTGATGGCAGTAGTGGTCGCTACTGACCGCGACCCTTATAGTGGACCCCTTCCGAACCTTTTCTTCCGGAATGCTTCATTCCGGAACGGTGCTCTGCCTTGGTGTAGTGCCTTTTGCGTCTTCCTTCCATCACATTCCATACCCACTGACTCTCCTATCCATGCCAGGAACGCCTCCACTGACCCTCCTATCCAACCCCGGCGTCATCGGCATCCCATACGGACTCGCCGGGCTGTCTACGCCATACGGACTGTCCATGCCATACGCACTTCCCTTCCTGTCCTTCTCATCCAAACTGCGTCTGCCATGCAACACGCCCATGCTACTATCCGCCCTCCTCCTGCCCCTACGGCCCGCAACATCCCTCGCCCACTCGCTCAGCTGGTAGCACCAACCACCCGCCACCAACACGCCACTGACCACATTGACCAGTCTCACCAGCAGGCCCAGTGGGGAGTCCCACTCCTCGGCAATGGTCAGCAGGATGGGCTCGATATCGAACTTGACGAAGATGCCCGGCACGGCGGTTTCGGAGACAATGTGGGATTGCTCGGTGACGGCGTACTGGTTCGTGAACACGGTGTTTGTGGAGCTGAAGTAGGTCTTCTCATTTGCTTCGTCGGAGGAAGAGGGGCTGACGGAGGGGTTCATGCGCGCGAGTTCACGCGGCGAGGTCGTGTAGATGGTGGGGACGACGGAGAGGTAGTATTGGTATTTATAAAAGTGCTTGTCGGTGGTTGTGCGCGTGTTGTCGAGCGGGTTGAGGAGGGAGGGGTAGAAGGGTCCGAAGGAGAGTTCGTTTATCTGGTGGGAGAAGTTGAAGGCTGTTTCAAATTTAGTGTCAGCGTACGAATTGTCCCAGTCGCGAACGGGTCGGGTATGGGCCATGAGGGTCTTGAAAGAGCAGGGCGTGGAGCAGGTGAAGCGGCCTTAACCGGATAGCGAAAGGAGAGCACCACATACCGTTATGATCCAAATGCTGTCCAAACTCCATGTACCCATGTCCCCTCGCCGTGATATGGAAATCGCCTTGCACCTTGTTCCCCTCCAGACTTCCAAACACGCGACACGAATCCGCATTCGCACCCCTCGGCAACCCCGGCGTCTTCTTGAACTTCCTCTTCCTCCTCGCCGCACCCAGATAATCATGCACATCCTCTTCCTCATACTTGCCCCCACCCAATCCCCCGCCCCTATCCTCACTCTCCTCGAGTCGATGCGAGCTCTTGTCCCCCACTGGCTCCACATGGTGGGCGCGCGCGTGAGCGCAGAGCCGGCGAGGATCCGGTCGCCGGACGCGTCTTGCACGTTGATGTGTACATCCTCGCACTTCATGGCGACGACGAGGTCGATGTTGATCTGCAGGTCGTGGCTGATGCCTTTCTCGACGCTGAAGGTGTGCGTCGTCGTGCCGACGTACCAGCGCCGGAGCTCCGTCACGCTGAGCACGAAGGATGCGATGATGAGAAATACGGTCCAGACGCCGCCGGAAGAGGTCTTGGTTTGGTAGGAGGGTTTGGTTTTGGCTGGGAAGAAGTCAGCGGAGGACTGGGTGTGTTTGGCAGGGGAATTGGAGCAGGACGGAAGCAGCGCTGTGGTTTGCTTGCAGTATTGGCCCTTCTGGCCCCTGGTATAGCATAGCAATATGGAATGGAGGTGTGTTGTACTCACGGAAGGCATCGAAGGCCTTCACGACCGAGAGGCTTTTGGACTCGCCAAAAGCGCTCTCGTCGAGGCCGCGGTCCGCAAACCCATTCATCTTTACACTCCGTCCGATGAGAGAGCGGCTCTGGTACGCGCCCGATTGTATTCGTGTCGTGTTCCTTTGGGCTGTGGTCGAGAATATCACATGTCGGCGGAGATTGCTAACGGTATGCAATGCGGGATGGGAAGTTGTCAAGTGTTCAGTTCACTCGTGCGTCCGTGCGTTTTGTACATATATAGACATTCCACATTCACAACACTCGCCTGAGATTCAAATCTCATGGCCTCTCCGTACGGTTAGTCTTGTATGGGAGCAGTATCACACTGCACACAGTCAAGCTACAGGATCTTGAGACGATCAATGCATTATGTATGTTGTTCGTTTCATATGCTGCTCTAGCCATGCCAAAAGCAAGTCTTTGCTTTGTTCCATCTCGCGTGATACAAGTCGTTTCATCATACAATGCAGCCTCCGTCTTCACGGATCAAGCTGCAGCGAGATCAATACCAGGTGCCATACCATGCACACTACGCACTCGTGTCACCACCCAGGGCAGAGTATCCACTGCGAGTGTCACCGGTGATTTTGGTATCCTTGGGATTGCCAGCATCGTTCCCGCTCGCCGCATCAGCCCTCTGCATGTCTTGCAGTGCAGCGCGGCCTGGGTCGTTTTGCCTCCAATATCCGTAGCCGAGTCACCGAAGCTGGCGTTTGGCGCACCGCTGTCAAAGCCTCCTTCGGAGATGTTCGCGCCGTGTGGTCTGCCTTCCTGACCCGCGTTGTGGACGTAGCTTGGTGCTGTTCCCGCGTTAGCACCAGAGCCTGTGGTGGTGTTGTATGGCTTCCCGCCAGTGCCGCCCGCAGCGCTGCTGTAGGACTGAGCACCGGAAGAGGTGCTGTCGCTGTACGTGGGACCGACGCCGGACTCCTTGCCCTGACCTTGCTGGGACGGTACGCCAGAGGCGGAATCGGAGTCACGGGATGCGGCGTCGCGTGCAGGTTGGAGGACAGTGGCACCAGAGGTGTCGGTGTTGTTTGTGGTGGTGGAGCTGGAAGGTTGGGAAGAGGCAGCAGCGCCAGAGTTGGCACCAAACGAGCCGCCTTGG